CATCGAGACGAAAATTGAGGAGTATAGTTCCAGCAGATTTATTTTTCGGTTTTGAGGTTGCCGGGTCGATACCGATGGAGTTCGGAAATTGATGAAGTATTGTGCGACGTTTTTTGACGTCTATTCGTAGGGCGAGTGGCGTTTTTACTTGGAGGTGGAGTAAAATAAAAGACGCAAAATATGATAGAAGTCTACGAGTAGTTTATTACGCTTTCTACCTGCAGACTTGATTGACTTGAGATTTTGATACTTATTTTGGACTATAGATTATTTACGGTAATTATTTACCTAATTTAGTTACGGTTTAAGACATTTATTTCTAAAAAAAAAAACAGAATTTTAGTTAAAAATAGTAATAATTTAGTTAGAAATAGCAACCAAAAACTTTTTGCAATTTAAGTGTGTTATCTTTTTTAGGGAAAATACTAAAAAAAGGATAAATGTGTGGTTAGCCATTCTGGTCATAATTAACTTAATGTTTCTTATTTACGAATGCGCTATAAGTCTTCCGAATCTCGACACGGCATGTCGATATTCGAAACGAATTTTAATTAAATATTTTTACTTATCGAATTTCATTCATCTCTACTTCCTACTGGCGGAAAATAATTTACACGCCGCAGTTCGATGTTTTTTCGCTAAAGAAAATAGCAATGATTTTTACATTCATTTTAAAGTTTTCCGGTAAATATTTTACACTATCGGAGAGGCTTTATAAATTAAAACGGTTAAATTTCGCATAAGGTATATGAACAATGTTAGTCGGTTTGTTTCGTGTAGGTATTGCTTATAGTGAACTTACACCTATTTGATATTCATAAATTGAGTGTGACTGTGCGTTGGCGTGTTAGTACTAGTAGTTTTAATTGTTACAATCACTTTTTGAACCAGTTCCGATTCGTTTGATCAATGTGGGTAATCGACTGACCGAAATGAGAACTGAACTCGATCGTCAAGTTGATCGATAAATAAATCTGACCTTAAAAGTTAATGGTTACGTCCGAAAATTACTACCAACTTTAAAGAAAATGGAAAACTACGAGTAAATATAATGTTGATGAAAACTCTTTTTTCTTATCGAAACTTCAACCTCAAATTAATATTAATTTAAAAGTTCTAGGAAAAGGGTATGTCTATTTCCTCGTTATACATATGTGTATTTGTGTTACATCTTTCTAAGTAATGTAATTAATGCTTTCTGTGTCACAAAGGCACCGAAAGGGCAGTTCTAATTATAGCATGGTCAACGCCAGGGCTTAGTTCACAAACAGCATCTAAAATGACCGACAGAAATAGAAAATATCATGTTCGAGAGAAAGGTTTTGCCATACAGGTTACGTTCTGCGGTCAGCGATCAGGTCAAAGTTTGAAGCCGCGATAGTCGAACGGTATAGGGGTCGGATTGGCCGACTCGTGATCCGGGGAACATGGGTTCGGTGATTCGGTCTCCGCTGCCGCTCGGCTTTTGTGGTGAGCTCACTCGTGAATCTCGTGATACAAGCATATTTAGCTTAGTACGAGGGGCTAACGGGACTATTAGTAATTTGTGTTACAAACTACTAATAATTTTTTTTATGGAAAAAAATGAACGCAGCCTGCATCATGTATGAACAACATTGTCACTGATGTCGGTCTCTATACATTTTGTATTAATTTGATCTGGCCGTGCGGGCCACGTATGTTATTTAAACACATGAACATCACAATAAATAAATTGTACTTACCTTTTAATTTGGTTATAATACAACTTTCGTTAGTATAAAAACACAATACGATTATTTAATAACGAAGTATTTAATGTATCTAAAATGTTCAGCAGTGGACGTCCTGTGGCTGAAATGATCATGATAATGAAATGTATCTAACATCATAAAATATAAAGTTTTGCTTTATAGTTTTAGCTTAAGAGCGTTGTCACATTTTTCATGCAGAAATCGAGAATTTGGCAGATTTCGAAATGATTTTAGTCATATAATTTATTGTTATAGCTTCTTTTGACTTATATCATCGTAATTATCATACGTTTTTACGGAATGTCTATTGACAAAATCTCGTTCAAATTGGATTTTTGCCTACGAAAACAGCGAATTTCGAAAGCCCGATTTCCAGGTAACTCGCGAAGGCACAACTTTGAACTAATATTACAACAAATTTATTTCTAAGTAAGAAGATAGAATGTATTCATTAGAATAAGCATACCCTGAAGAAGAAAGTGTATTGAGAAAATTTTGATGTTTAATTCATTAAAATGCATTTTTATCATGTCTAAGATAGTCAAAATTCGAGAAAATTACTGCAAGAAAACAGGTCACATCTCATAATCTAAAAGTCATTTGGCAACATAAACTACTTTATACTTAAGAAGAAACATAGTACTATTATTGTGTGAAAAAGAAAAAATATCTATCTTCAATCTTCAAATGAAAAATTAATTTGAAAATACTATAAAATCGGGTGCATCAAATGGCATAAATCAGTCGTGCTTTGTGGATCAATGTCCATGTTAAATGGTTAAGAGAGTAAGAGAGTAAATGTCAATGTACTAAATACATAATAAAGCAATATTTTTGTATTACAATCGTATTGCATCACTTATTCAGAACAATAACAAATATCACGGTCTCAACAAGATTTTGTTCATTATAGAGTATTATTATATACATTTATTTGTACTTCTATTAACTGTTAAGTACGACTACTGATTGTAAAAAGTTGCCAAGACAGTTGACAGAGTATCCTGTCTATCCAGCACACTGGCTAATTGTGTCAACATTGACAGCGGCGCAAACCGCAGGCAATACTGCCGCGTGTCGCGTGCTGTGTGGGCCGAACACCCTCGTGTCGACACTCCTTTCCTATATTTATCCAGTTTCATCTCAGAACTGAGCTTGACGACGGTAGTGGTTAACACCGAATCGATCACAGTGACTGCAAGGTTAACACTCTGATTGTTGTAAAACATAATGTGGTTAATTAAAACTTATTAATTTATTTGGTACAGTTTGACCAGTATTCCAAAACAGTATTAATTTGGATTCCAAGTAACACTGTTGCGAGGAAAAAGTTTGGTTTCTATTTAATAGCACCTTTTAATAGCAATCTTTTGATTCTTGAAACCTGACCCATACATTATAATATTTATTTAAATAATTATATATTTCAATAAATTATTGATTTGACTAACGGTAACGATATTGCTAAGCGGTGGTTATTTAATGTTATTATGGGATGCACCCGACTTTAGATAATGCTAAGAAAATCGAGTAAACTAGGTACAATGATGTAATTGAGCATTGTAAAAATATTTATTTGTCAGTCATTTGGTGTAGTGGTTTCGAAACGGACTACTATGCCGAGAGGTCCCGGGTTCGATCCCCGGCCGGGCAGAAATTGAATTGATACATTTTAATTTCTGTGATGGGTCTAGGTGTTACTATGTATATTATTTATCCTGTTTTCGCCTCCGAGATTTATTTTACCGTGTAGTACCTCTGTACGACAAGCCAATCCGCACACAATATTCAGCGTAGTAGTAGTAAAAAACAAAAGAGCGGGCAACCCCACCCCTACCACGCTGTGGGCTCGGTGTCCGAGCGGTCTCATTCCTTTGTGCGCACGGATGACATTGACGTTTACCTCCAGGGAAGAAGATATAGAAATCTTCGGGTTGGGAGTCTATGCTATTGTGTTTCTACCAACAATAAATATACTCTTCCTTACTAATAAAAGTTGAATAGCGTCTGTATGGTCACACAACGCTTCGTCATGTTTTTCCGAAAGTTCAATTACTGACGACTGAAAGAAAGAAATTGATCAAATCAAATCAAATCAAATCAAATCAAATCAAATCAAAGAAATTGGTGCGTAACTATGCATCTGATATTAAACGTTTAGTAATAAAGGGGTAGGTCAGGTAAATGGCAAATCCACCAGCGGTCGCTCGATGCCACTTAGACAAATAGTTTTATAAAACGTCAACTAAGTTGGTTAGGTAGGTATTTGTATTGTAGATACTTATACAAATCAAATGAACGTATAAAATGAGTTTATTTTTAAAAGTATAGGTACAGGGTGGAAACGATAAGTGATTTCACTTGATTTTTAATTATACAAGATATCGAGAAACTGTTTACTGTTCCTGTAAGTGCTTCATGAGCTCTTTAAAACAATAACAATAAATAGGTCAAAGAATAAACTGGATCTATGCGAAAATTCAATGTTTCCGAATTTCATACTAAATGTATGCCGCCAGCCATACCTACCATATTATAAGTGTTAATTTTTTTAATTTAAATTTTTAATTGAGTAATATACAGGGTGTTAGGTAAATGGGTATATGAGCCGACACTAGCCCATGTTAACATGGGCATATAAATGGTATGGTGAAGTCAGAAATTTGATATCACTATTTTATATTTTTTATAATACACACCCTGTATAACAATCAAACAACAAACTCGTAAATTGCATTCTTATTTAAATTATTTACTGAAAACATGATTTTAGGTTTAACTTTTTATAGCCATGTAAACTTAAATGTTCAGTCCACTTTTAACTTTTCGGAAAAGTTCAAAGCAGAATTAAAAAAAAAATAGATGATATTTGCCAGTAAATTTAGATTTGATGCAACCCTATATCAATGCACGTCAAAACAAAATATTTACATTAAGGCTACGCTTAGTAGTTTTTTTTTAAATCGAAATTAAATGATGCGATTTGGGTATTTTGGTGAAATTACTAAAAAACTTAATATAAAAGTAGCCGCCTGACATGGAACGTGTTATGGGGGCTGAAAATATAGGAAATGACCCATTCTATCCGCCAAATCATTTTGGCACACGATGCGCCAAACACCCTGTATATTCAGGATGAAACCTACCAAGTTTCAGCAATTAGGTCTGAATGAAAAAGATAAACAAATTAGTTTTGTAACTTAGAAAAATTTTGCGACATTCCGCCATGACAGTCGCGAGCGAAAGGGAGTGCGATAAACGTCATCGCTCCGAGCGAAAAGGTTAATATCTTAGGCAACTGAGGCAATAAATACTACAACACAGATTATAAAATAGATTTGTAAAACTAATAACATACTTCAATGCGGCTTCGTAATTTTCTTCATGGTAGTAAATTGTAGCCGCTACCAGCAAAAATATCTCATTGGCAAGCTCTGTGCCTTTAGCCACCTGAAAAATGACAAAAGTACGTCATTATTTAACGCATAGAATCCAATAAGAATTTCAGTAAGATTGCATCATTAGTCATGAACTTACTCTAGCATCAATATCAGCTACAATAACGGGCTTGTTGGCGCCAGGAGACAAATACTCCACCAAGCTCTTCAAAGGCTGGAGCATAGGGTCAGCAGACTTCAGCTCTTGCAGCACGATCCTGTGGTTGCCTTGAGCGATGTATGAGCGGTATAGGAAAGCATCTTTCTGCAGTGCTATCAGAGGTGTGGAGCCCTGAAAAAGGTTGATATTATGTAAAATATGTTTTATAAAACGTAAATTTCAGCTAATTAGTGTCTAAAAGTGGTACAAATGAGACTAAATAGCAGAAAACATGAACCGAAACGAAGCATGAATCACTGTCCACAACAAACTACAAATACGCAATAAAGAATCAAATGAAAGAAAAAATTTAATAGTAGAAAGGTTACTTACATTAATACTGAGTGCCTCGTTGATAGCTTGCTGGTAATTTCCAACATAAAACGCATTTTTAACATCGAAAAGTTCATCAACATCTTGTTGCTGACGTGCCATTTTGACAGATTGTTTGACAGTTTCTGCTGGTGTTGTCACTTTATAAATTGAGAACAGATGGTTTATTCACCACATAATATTAGGTATAAGCACAAGTAATATTATAGCAAAATTGACATCATGGTAAACCGTAAGTAAACCATCATTAATTACCTCATAATAAATTAATTAAAATCAAATGAGTAATTTTATATAATAAAGCCAGATAGCGCCATCTAGTGACTATTATCTGTATCACACAATGAAGACTGCTCTCGTTTGCAACCATGTCCATTGTAAGAAAACTCAGGCTTGACTTTTGCATAACTAGATGGCAGTGCAACCATTGTTATTGGCTTGATACTCACAGTAGAGTCACAGTGCAGAAGGTTCCTCGGCAGTCATACTTTTTGGAGAATAGGTAAGTTCTTATCTGTGATTACTTACTTACAGTACAGATGTTAACTAACACCCCCAGTCCCCCATGCCTACTATGTAGGAACACATAAGTAAATAAAATACCTATCCAAACTTTATAATAACATCCAGGAGTTTTTATAAAAATCTCAGTTTTTGTGTCGATACCTACTTATCTGTACAGAGAATATGATATTTCCCGTCATTGCGACAATAACGTAATTTTATGCCGAACAGTGCAACACAAAAGATATTGTGAATTGAAAGGAAATAAGTTCGCGTAGCATCCTTTGAAGCTGGCTTTAAGATTCAGGTAGATGTTTACTCCTGCAGTAATAACAAAAGATATAACAAAAGGTATTTCTTTGCGCTGTAAGTACCCAAGTTAAGCAAAGTATTCTGTACAAATGCACGCATAGATGGGACGATAAAAATAAACCTAGGTACCTNTTTCTTTATTATTATGTATGATGTACTGTCTTAGGTACGATACAACTACGGATTAAGATCGTTTAGTCAACGCAGCGTTGAAATTGTACAGATAAATGCAGTTTGCGCACTCACTACGCGACGTCAAGCAATAAAAACCTAAAATTCGAACGCCAACTTTTTGCTACAACGCTCTTAATAAAAGTTTTCTTATTATTTTACTCAACTGGGCAAATAATCTTAGTAATATGTAGATAGAACATCTATTACACATTCAATAACGTTATATTATAGTTCGACTTGTAACAATATTTCATACTTAATTTGTTTCTTTTTCGTGGAACAAGTTAGTTGTGTTCATCATGAATAGAATATCAGAACCAAATGTAATTTTATTCGTCCTATCTATTCGTTATTTCGTCATTAATGCGTTTCGGTTATGGACAACTTGTCAATAGTTAATATTTAATGTGTTTCAATTATGGACACGTTTTCCATAGCCGAAACACGTTGTGTATTTTACGAAATAACGATCAAAGCACGATTTCAGTGTGTGCTCGTACATTTCCGATCATTCGTGTTGTCTCTGATCACGCGTCACGCCAACAGTTCCCAAAGTTTTATGTTCGTAATTATTTAACTAAATAAACGTTTAATTCATTGTAATTACCTTGGTACTGACTTATCCAATGTATTATTAAGACGATTTTTTTATTAAAATGTTAGTAATTTTAACCTTCACGGTTAAAAATCGGGGCTCGTGGAAATCGAACGTCCACAAACTTACGCTTGAAGAGGTTTGACGATGCTGAGTCTGATGACACAATAATAGGTGGTTGTGGTTGCTTAGGTAGGGCCAATTTAACAGCCGTAGAGCCAAAGCACACGATGCATTGTTGGTGTCGCGGTGCGACGCAGGAGCGTTGTCGCTGCGTCGTCTTATATAGAAATATCTGTGGTGGGCACTCGAGAGGTGCGGCGCCATGCCGCGCGTTACTTCGAAATATTATTTGTGGCGCGGCGCCGAAACGTATCGTGTGCTTTGGTTCTGACTTGCAATCCGAGCGGTCTATACAGGGTGTGGTTTTGTAAAACAACGCCCATCTCAGGGGTGGTAGTACATATGAAAGAAATTACAGGAAAAATATAAATAAAATTGTAACTATTACTTTAATTGTAAAAAACCTTTTTCAAACATCTCCTAAAACTTTGGAGACGGTACTTGTTACCGCCCGCACCACTCTCGCGTACCCCGCTACACCACCGAGCACATGCGGCCGCCGCCCCGGGAGAGCGGGGGGACTGTTCCATACATTTTCCTGATTTCATGGATTTTTCCATGAAAAAAAAATATACTTTTTATATTTTTTTTGCCATCAGTGTCGTGTATCTACCACCCCTGAGACGGGCGTTGTTTTACAAAACCACACCCTGTATTAGATTTTCTACCACAAAACTTCGCTTAGCTTTGAGAGCCGTTGGCTCCAGTTTGCGTTGTTAATTACCGCGTGAGAGTGACTTGTTTACACGTATACGCCACGACTCGGCCTTTACACGTTTTAAGGTAATTACGCTAACCCATCAATTTGTGCCGCTCGTTTACTTCGCAAATACGCCGAAAATGCTTATTTGTGGCTATCACCTGTATTTTGGGGCTAAATAATTAACGCATTCTTGTGGAGTCAGGGTCGAAAAGTTATTTGGAAATTCATTGAGCATAGCATACATACCTCTATATCACCAAATATTGGTTTCAAAGGTATTTTGTGGCTCACAAGATGTCTCGGACGGTATAAATACATCCAAATAATGTATAATTAAGAATCAAACGAACTCACCTGTGATGTTTGATATCTAATTATACGAGTGTCTTGACCGAAGATGATTACGTTTTACATGCAGCAGTACCTGGGATGATGCCGTCCTTATCACACTTTTAGAGAATATTTATTTAAAAATATAAGTTTTAAATATAAAAAGTACGTGTTTTGACTCATTCACACCGCGGTGCGTTCCGCCATATTTCTTGTCATTATTTTAGAGCAAATTTTTTCGATAGATTTGGGGTAATTAATTTTCGGGTGGGGTGGGACTGTAATCATCTTCGGTCAAGACACTCGTATAATTAGATATCAAACATCACAGGTGAGTTCGTTTGATTCTTAATTATACTTCGTATCTCTCCCGAAGATGATTACGTTTTACATGCAGATGTTTAGAGTATCGAAAAAATTTCAACTATAGAAACAATCAACTGTTTATTCAGTAAATAAACAACAAAACAAAGTACATAAGCATAAACCTTAATGCACATAATTTTAATTATGGTTTTGAAATAAGGAATTAGCAAAATCACAATCTCTTGCATTAATTACATTTTTATTATAGTATTTAAGAAATACTTGAGAAGACTCGGTCCAACCTGCAGCCTTACGAATAACTTCTAAATTAACGCCAGCCCTGTGGGCCGCGGAAGTGGCCGCATGGCGGGTACTATGAGCGCTGTACAAATCAATATTAATGCCACTCTTTTCTAATACAAATTTCACCCAGTGAGATAAAGTTTGCGTTACAACTTTTTTATGTGGTTTTTGGTAACTGATAAAAAGGTTCTCGTCTGTGCGTATACTTTTAGTCCTATCAATGTAAGATTTGACAGTTAAGGCCGGGCATACTTTAGGATTTTCCTTAATATATGGCAATACAATAAATGGTTGATAAGAGCCCGGTTTTGAAGTTTTAATCAATTCATCTATTTTAATTTTAATTTTATCTGGGTAGAATGAAATATTGTTAGTGCGAATTAAATGAAGTGTTTGCATTCTCTGCGCAGAAGCCAGAGCTAGGAGTGTTATACACTTAACTGTCAAATCTTTCAGGGAAATGGACTCATTCGGAAAATAGTTTGCAAGATAATTTAACACCAAATTTGGGTCCCAAGTAGTATCATATTTGGGAGCAGGCGGCCTGAGGCGAAACACGCCTTTGAAAAAACGTTTGATACAATCATTAGTAGTGATGTCCTGACCTAGAAGTATAGATAAAGCCGACCGGTAACTATTGAGAGAACTGTAGCTAACACCAGAATTGAATTTATCTGTTAAATATTCTAATAAATGAGCTGAATTTGAGTTACAATAATCGATACCTTTAGTATTACAATAGTGCCACCATGATTTTATTGCTGAATTATATTGTTTTAATGTATTATTTGAAAAGGATGCCATCAAAATGTCCAGAGAATTGGTAGGCGCGCCTCGCCTCAACAACGCCTGCCTGATAATTTGCCGGCCATCAGGGTCAGATCCGCATGGAGAGGATGTTCGACTCTGAAAGGCGAAAATAACAGATTTTTGTTAGGTTCGAAATGTATGACATTTGAAACTAGAAGTCTTGACCACAGTGGGTACCATGGCTGAGTGGGCCAGAATGGTACTACTACTATGCCCTCAGCGCCATCTTTTTTAATTTTGTGTAATACTTTAGGAATAACACTGAATGGAGGGAAAGCGTAAAAATTAATATTTTTCCAATTGAATGTAAAGGCGTCGACAACTTCGGAGTTGGGGTCTAACTTCCAAGATGCATATCTAGGACATTTATGATTTTGAATACTAGCGAATAAGTCAAATTCTGGAATGCCAAATGATACTGTAATTTCTGTGAATGCGTAGTCAGCTAATTCCCACTCCGTGTCTATGTTTGATTGACGAGATTGGAAATCTGCGGCAATGTTTTCACTGGACTGGATGTATGATGCGAATACGAAAATATTGCGTTTTTCACACCAGTTCCATAACTCTCGAGCAATACTATTTAAATTTGTGTACTGTATACCACCCATTTTGTTTATGTAGGCAATAGCTGTTGTATTGTCTATTCTCAAAAGTATATTACAGTCAGTAAGGTGGGATGCGAATGTTTTAAGACTATAGAATGCAGCGAGTAATTCCAGAGTATTTATGTGTAAAACTAGCTGTGACTGCGACCAATTTCCGTTGGCTGTCTCGTCATTACACATTGCACCCCAACCAGTGGTTGAGGCATCGCTAAAAATTATGAGACTGTAATCACTCGATTGAAAGGAACATGATGCCGTGTCAATGTTATCCCTCCACCATATTAAATCATGTTTTAAACTACTCGGCAGGTACATATTTTTACTATAGTTATTTGAATAATTTAGTGCCAAGAATTTTTCTC